CACCTGTAACAAGCGTTAAAATGTCTGAAACACATCTGAAACACACCTGTAACAAGCGTTAAAATGTCTGAAACACATCTGAAACACACCTGTAACAAGCGTTAAAAGGTCTGAAACACATCTGAAACAAGCCTGTAACAAGCATTAAAATATCTGAAACACATCTGAAAAAAGACTGAAACAAGCATTAAAATATCTGAAACACATCTGAAAAAGACTGAAACAAGTTTGAAAATGTCTGAAACACGACTGAAACACATCTGAAACACACCTGTAACAAGCGTTAAAATGTCTGAAACAACCTGAAACAAGCCTGAAACAAGTCTGAAAATGTCTGAAACACGACTGAAACAAGCCTGAAACAAGTCTGAAAATGTCTGAAACACATCTGAAACAAGCCTGAAACACACTTGAAACAAGTTGGAAAATGTCTAAAACACGACTGAAACACATCTGAAACAAGCCTGAAACACACGAACATGTAAAATGCACTGAATGCTGAAACAGCCTGAAACAACTGTAACATTGAAAATGTCTGAAACACTGAACGCCTGAAACATCGAATGTCTGAAACACGGCAAACTCTGAACAAGCCTGAAACACACTTGAAACAAGTTGGAAAATGTCTGAAACACACTGAAACACATCTGAAACACACCTGAAACAAGCGTTAAAATGTCTGAAACACATCTGAAACACACCTGTAACAAGCATTAAAATGTCTGAAACACGACTGAAACAAGCCTGAAACAAGTAAAATGTCTGAAACACATAAACAACCTGTAACAAGCATTAAAATGTCTGAAACACATCTGAAACACACCTGTAACAAGCATTAAAATGTCTGAAACACATCTGAAACACACCTGTAACAACCTGAAACAAGCTGTAAAATCTCTGAAAAGTCTGAAACAGCCTGAAACAAGCCTGAAACACATATGAAAATGTCTGAAACACGACTGAAAAAAGCCTGAAACAAGTCTGAAAATGTCTGAAACACGGCTGAAACATCTGAAACAAGCCTGAAACACACTTGAAACAAGTTGGAAAATGTCTGAAACACGACTGAAACACATCTGAAACAAGCCTGAAACACACTTGAAACAAGTTGAAAATGACTGAAACACCTCTGAAACAACTTGAAACACAATTAAAATGTCTGAAACACATCTGAAACAAGCCTGAAACACATATGAAAATGTCTGAAACACACCTGAAACAAGCCTGAAACACACTTAAAAATGTCTGAAACACACCTGAAACAAGCCTGAAACACATATGAAAATGTCTGAATCACACCTGAAACAAGCCTGAAACACATATGAAAATGTCTGAAACAACAACCTGAAACACGATAGCCTTGTTTCAGATGTGTTTCAGGTGTGTTTCAGACATTTTCCAACTTGTTTCAAGTGTGTTTCAGGCTTGTTTCAGATGTGTTTCAGTCGTGTTTCAGACATTTTAATGCTTGTTACAGGTGTGTTTCAGATGTGTTTTAGGTGTGTTTCAGGCTTGTTTCAGATGTGTCAGGTTCTGAATTGAAGTTTGCAGCAGGCTCCGTGACTGACTTGCTCAGCTGTGAACATTGTGAGTAGTGTGAGATTTTTGCTGCTCACAGAGATCAGTGCTGCAGGTCAGTGCGCTCCTCCTGCCAGCCTTTCATTTCCTTCTACTGAACCTACTGACAAACTGCTACAGCAGTCCTTACAATCACAGGAGCTCAGAGAAGTTTCTGATGGTTATCCGCCATGTGCGACCTCACAAGCCCGTTCCTATTTGCTGTAGCAGCGCAAACATCTGGAGGCAGGGAGGCTGTCAAAATAGCCGTCCACTTACTTTCTTCTGCGTGTCTAGGAGTGAACAGACATCCGGAGCTCGTTTCATTTTTCTGAAATATGAAGCTGGAAGGCGGGCTCTGGTTGCACTCGAGAAAGGGTCATTGTGCGGCGTGACCTGTCATGTGATCTCAATCCCAGAATATCCGAGGACGGGTTGGGTTTATTGTCCTTTCTCCTGTTTGACACAGATGCGCCGCAGGCCGGAAACTGAGGACCTCTGCCTCAAACACCCCAGCTCACAGACACCACGAGCTGCTGCTAGCGCCCCCTGCTGGCTACACCTGCTGTCAGCGCCTTATCAAGACCTAGTGAAGACGTTTCTCTAAAGCAAGGACTTTTAAACACAGTCCGGACTTTTCCAGTGGGGAATTTTTAAAGGGACAGTGTTAATGACGTTTTGGGAACGGGGACACATTTACAGAGTGAGCAGAAAAACAGGGAATGAGGCTTTTCTCAGCTGCTGTGAATGGACTGTGAAGATGTTTCAGGATGTATGATATCCTGCTAGCATCTGCCGAGGGTTGCAGTTTGTCCAGTAGGTGCCGCTATGATTTGTTCTCTCTAACATTTTGTGTCCTCTTTGTGTCCGTAGCATCAGCATATGCCAGCCTGCAGCAGCACGGCTCCGAAGGCGTCCATGGGAAGTCGTCCCCGGTTGCCGTCTTCGTACCCCGGCCGGATTACCTGGAGGGGGACGAGGACACGGACCTCATCAAACCCAAGAAGCTGGTGAATCCAGTCAAAGCTTCGAAGAGTCACCAGGAGCTTCACCGCGAGCTGCTGAGCAGTTACAAACGGTAACGCTCTGATTAGTTTTAATTTTCCAAAGAATGAAGAGGAAGAAGAAGGGGCGGGGTCAGACAGCGTGACTGAAGCTCCCACCTTCAGCTTTATTCAGACTGTTTAAATCCACTCATGTTCAGTTATGAAAGCTGAAAGTTTGAACTCGAGTCACGCCATCTGAACCTGCCTGTGTCTCAGGATGCAGTCAGAGATGTGTTTTTAGATTATTAGAGATGAATTTCATGGAACATTTGTGGAAAAGATGTTTTTTAGTTGTGGGAGTTGGGGTTGATGGAGCCTCAGATTTAGATCATATTTCAGGGAAGTGTCATCAGCAGTGTTGGGTAAGTTACTTTAAAATAGTAACTCAGTTACATTACTAGTTACTTCTCTCAAAAGTAACTCAGTTACTTCAAGTTACTCGTTACTTTCAAAGTAACTAGTTACTAGGGAAAGTAACTTTGGTTTTACTCAGAATTCTCTTGT